AAAAACCTAGACAGAGAAATACTACTCTCTATTCTCTTTGTGAGACCAAACTACATGGTTTCGAATGGAGGTAGGAGGTAGGTACAAAAAAAAATGTGCTACTCCATAACTGGTAATTGGGGCCCAATATCCCAGAATATGGACACTAGACGAAATTTCTGAGATAGTCATTAATAAAATATTATAACATTAGTGTCCAAATGATTTGAACACAATACTGAAATTTGCTATAAGAAAATCATTGGAAAGGGTTTGACCTAAGAAACAGCACTTTATTATTAATAAAGAGAAATTCACATTACTGGTGATCAAATTGTAAAAAAAGGCTACGTGATTTTGGCACGTTTCAAGATTTCGATCACAAGTGGCATGCTGTTCTCTTATAAACTTCCGTCCTATGGCCTCCCAGGGAAACAGACTGACTTCCTCTCCAGCCGCAAGACATCCGTTGTAATTGATGGGTTCTTTTTATCCTACAATGTCATCGCATATGTTCCAGAGGGATTTGTCTTGGCTCCAACACAACACTATATCTCTTACATATCATCTACCTCCTGTACAATGTAGCCGTTCCAGAGCTTTCCTGATGACAGTACTCTACTGGCAAGCATTCAGAGTACCAGAGTTCCGACGAGCTGGAAAGAACACGAGTAGCTACATACTCTCTTTTGAGAGATCTGGAAGTTATCAGATCACTGTTTGGGGATGCAACAATTTTGATCCATTTAATGCTTTCAGAATACTGTACTGTTTCTGAAAAAACCGTCCGCCACATATTCGTTACTATTAGACTCACTGTACTAAACTTACCCTCATTAAACCAAAAAAGCTAGAAAAGTTTTTTGAACGATATAATCCAGCTGCTTCGTTTTGGGGCAAGAAACGCCCAGCTCCATTTTTGTGTACCGCACTTGATGGAAAAAAATACCAATACACACTTCTTTTTTCATGCAGAACTATTTATCAGTATCCTTTTCTATTCCTCAAAACATCATACTCTCAGTTGGTCCACTTTCTTACTTTGAAAAAGAGTTTTTCCTTAATACTGTAAAATTATAAATAATAGACATTGTTCAATAGTAAAAATAGCGTGAGTTATAAATTATTTGTTTCCATCATCATTATTCAAACCAGTTAGTAATGTACTGGTGTCATCTGTGTATAACACCACTTTAAACTTAGAATTAAAACTAGGTCGAAATGCATTAAGGTCGTTAGTATACAATAAAAAAAGAAAGGCCTAAGGACTGATCCCTGTGGGACACTCTCATTCAAAACCTTCGCCTCGCTATTTATACCATTAACAGATGAGACATATTCTGCTTCCGTGTATCAAATTATGAAAAAGTTGGAAGTGTAGACCACGAATTCCATATCTATACAGTTTAAGGGACTTGCAATCCGCTAGGTGACAGCTCAGTTATTAAACCCTGCATTAAAGCATAGCCTCTCCTAAGTCGAACCTACTTTTCTCCAGAACACGGGTATCAGCGATGGCCGCATGACGCGGCGTTGTCAAATTTGCGGTAATAGTTCATTTGCTTTCCAAGCGGCCGGCTGAGTGTCTTTCTCCGTGCGCTTTACCCTGCAGCCGCGGGTATTTTTTTGGGTAATGGCATCGAGCGCAGAACAATTCAGCCTGCCGCTAACGTGGTTACTAGACGTCGTACCCACATAAATAAAATGTTTCGCCTTCTGTTCGATTTTTTTTAACAAATATACAGGATAATTTTTTTAAACAGGCCAAAACAAGAAAATTCAATATTTCAGATAATAATGAAAGTTAAGCAATTTCATTTAGATTTCGCACAATATTAGAAGTGATTAGGCGTAATTTAAAACTGATAAGAAAATTGAAAGGTCCAGGAGCAGACTTTTGATTTTGTTAACAATACCCTTAAGTTTCATATCGAAAACTTTGACATTGTATTGAAATCGCCAGTATTTGAACTGCGCCTTACTTTTACTAACATAACTTACTAATTTTTTAAAATATTTTTCACAAGTGCTTTCTCCCTGTGAGCTTAGATAAGTAATCAATATTTGTGAAAATATGTACTGATCAGAGTCGGACAAGTTTTTGTTATTTTCTCAATGTCTTTGGTACACATGCTGATTTTACATTTAAAAAATCCAGGGTCTTAATCTTTTTTTATTTGTTTACGCTGTACCACGATCGACACATTGCAACTTCCAGACTACGTTATTTTTGCATTGCAGCCACAGAAAAACAACAAAAAAACGTGACCAACCACCTTAAACAGCAACCGACATAGTCAAAAGCACGATAAAAGTCTAAGAAAAGACCACATATTCATTGTTTTTTGTCAAGGGCATCAATAAAATTATCTGTAAAACTGTATAGTGCAGTTTCCGTGCTTGTACCGTTGACAAAGCTGTGTTGATTTCTTGAGATGAGTTCGTTCTTATTACAAAAATCAATCCCACTGTTTTTGCATATTCAGCTCGAAAACCTGTTCACACGATAAATTTATTAGATAAGATAGAGGGGAGCAGATCTCTCAAACACAAACACATTTTTAAGCAGTTTATTTGAGATTTTGTCATATTCACTTGAATTAGAATTATTGTTTATCTGCCCAACTACGTATCATACATATGTATCTCATATCTATATAATTTGCAGCAGCCTTTTTCATTTTTTTTGCTTATTTGCAATAGTAAATTGAATCATTTAATTTAGTGGCTACCACATGACCAACAATATTTCTATTAGTCTATTGGACACTATTGATTACACTGACGAACATTTTAAAACGTGTTTCTCTCCCTGGAATGATTTTGGCTGGATCTTATTTTGACTTGCTAAATCCGGATCTGGCCTTAGATTTTCGATATCAGCATTCATTGCTGAGAGAGGGACATATGCTTTGATGTTAAGAAAAATTAAAAAAAGCGTAACTCCGATTTATTTATATTATAATTTAAACAATTAAAAACTAGATTAACTACATTTTATTAACAGTTAGTTTAGGCACAGTATACACATTTTTAAGAATTTTTTGATAAATTTAATATTAATTTCCTTAACGTATTTTTTTGTAAGAACTCCTGGATGTTTCTCGTATTAGTGTCCAGCAATAGTCGGCTAATGTATTCAGGCTCCTCTTTGCTGTAGACCTTTCTCTATGGAGAAGATGTCTTGGTGAAATCGTTTTCCATGTTCATCTGATATTGCTCCTAGATGTTCAGGGAAAAAGTCCAAATGAGAATGATAGGCCGTGAGCAGTTCTTCCACGAGTTCGCGATACTTTTCTGATTTATTATTTCAGTTGCTGCAAACATTTTTTAATGCATTTCATGCCCGACTTTCATTGTCACTTAAAATTTGCCTGAAGTTCGCATCTCTAAAGAATTGCCTAATTTGGGGTCTAACAAAAATTCTTTCTTTAATTTTGGCCTCACTTACATGCGGAAATTTGTATTTTGAATACTTAAACCATATCCTTCTTTATCCTGTGATTTAAAAAAAAAATGATCAGGCCTAGCTTAATGTGAAGTAGAGATATATTTTTTCTTTCTGAACTAATGATTCTCGGGTCAAATTTTTAACGCCAACTTATATTGTTTCACGTGGAGGCCAAATCTTAATTTTATAATGTTCGTCGCCTGCACGGCTGTCCCACTCACATAAGAAGCAACATATATATATATATATATATATATATATACAGGGTGTCCGCAAAGTTGGGGTTTTCCTTTACACGACGTGTATATCTTGAAAACATAAGCAATTTTTCTTAGTACCATATACACCAATGTCTTAAGGGGACCGAGATAAAGGGCTCTGCAACATCAAAAATATCTGAATACCGTCCTGTAGCCGCGACCCGCCGCGATATCCCAGACTGGTACCGGCTACTAGCTGAACCCGACGACAGAACTGGGTCGGGGGTCGGGGTCAGTGTGTCAGGTCAGTATGCAACATTCAACCGACGGTAAAGGGTCACGCGTATAGAGGTAACGAACCCGTATAATCGATTGCGTTTCAAAAAAAAAAAAATAATAATGGCACACTCATACACCAATAATGAACTCGTTGATATGTTGTTAATTTATGGCGAATGTCTTCAAAATGATTTGTGTACCTGGTCCAGAGAGTCAGGGATACCGGTCATTTGGAGGAATTTTGAGGTGGGCACAGTGGGAGGCCTAGACAACCACGAATGGTGCAAGTTGAGGAAGAACTACTGAATCGCGTAGACGAGAATCCCTCAACAAGCACTAGAGACGTGGCTAGAGAAGTGCAAGTATCAAAAACTAAAGTGTGGCAAACGTCCAACGTGTACAAGCCCTTCAACCTGACGATTTTCCAGCAAGAGTGCGGTTTTGTGAGTGGTTGTTGCATCAACATGACAATAATCCGGACTTTTTGAAGTGCAGATTGGTGACAGACGAATCTACGTTCACGCGTAATGGGGTGAATAACTTTCGATTTCAGGCAGAGACGTACTTAGCCCTTCTCGTCAATTGGAGAGTGAGTACATTTTCATTTATTTTTTTTTACCTGGTCGCGCTCGTTTCACTACACATTACAGTATTCATACGCACCTGAGCCATTGATAGTAACTTGTACATACAAAGTTGAGCCAGAGAAACAAACCTGACCCATATATGTGGCTCAGGTTTGAATTGCCTTGATTATTCTTACGTGGTGTGTGAAATCTCGATAATAATCAAAACCCTGTTAGATATGACGTTGCCGGATATCCTTCTCATCTAAGAAGTACCTAAGCGCAAGAGATATAAATGGTATAAGGGATACAACTTGGCAACTAGGTGGCTCAGGTTAATACGAAACTCCTGAAAATGTAGTTCATGTGGTGGCGCTGTAAACAAGCTTCATATACAAACATATACAAGAGAATGTCATCCTCTAGCAACAAACCTGAGCCATTTACATTTGGCAACGGTGTAATCTATTTTTAGAGATAACCGGTTCGCTGAATTCGTAGAATATCTGTACGGCAGTGTTCAATAAATAAAGTCTGCAGACATGTCTCAGCGTACGAGAAAGATTATTGCCTTAGCAAAGACTGGAGGTAAGTTAGTCCATTCGTAATTAAAAGTTCATAATTTACATTATATGCAAGCAGCCCATTAGTTGGTAGGGAAAAGTTCTGTGTTAAAGTGAATACTTTCGCGCTTTTTCTGAGCATGCGAGGTCAGCATTTTTTTAAAGAGCCCGTACTCTTGTTCTGTCAGCTGGCTTAGGTTTACTTTTAGTGATACATGTTTGCCCTAATATTGAATTAGGATGCAACAGAACTACTCACATTGTAGAGGTGTTAATGATGGATAATTAATTCATACCCTTCATGCTGATGAAGCTTCTTTTTTTACGTGAAGTCTGCTATTTACTTGACAGCAGGTTACATTTGTCATTCAAATTACATGAGACGACTGATATCCGAAACTCTTATTTAAAATAATTGAACCTGTAGAAATTAATAATATCTACTAGTAAGTAAAATAAAAATGCTCTATTTTCATTCCTTACGGATATACAGAGTGATATATCAGGACCGGTCAAAACTGTAAAATTGTATATTTCAGATAAAATTAACCGACTTTAATGAAAATTTGCTATAGTAGAAAGATGGTAAAAGTGCCTAGCGGTCATCTAAAATTGGTACGAAAATTTTTAAGCCCAGCACTGGACCCATTTTTTTAAAATTTTTGGATTCAACTCCCTGTGTGTTAGATATCGAAAAGTTTCATATTATGCAGTCATAGCCAATTGCTGATACTTTTCAAAACAGCAATTTAGTTGACTGCGTCTGTTTTAATTTTTTCAGAAAAAAAATAACGTTTTAAACAAATATCCTACGGGATTATGTTAATAAATGCTTATTTGCTCAAGCAATATTAGTCGGACTTCTGATGAGGTTTCATAATTTTCTTAATATCATTGATACAAAAACTGATTTTACCGACAAAAAGTTCAGGTCCGGTCTCTATTTTTCTAGTTTTATTCACTGTATCTGGACCCATGCACTGCAACTTGTATACTACGGGATTTCTGTATATTTAAATGTAATATTAATCAACATACACGAAATTATAGTTTTAGAATTGTTGAAAATGATTCCTAGGTTTCGTTACCAAGAGAAGTACTACTACATATACTGTCTATTTCTTATAGTATCATTGTAGCACATGAAACACGTGAAATGCTTCTATCTAGGTAGCCATGAAATATCTGACATTTTCCACTGTGTTCTTTGACAAGTCACAGCACCCTGCCTTGCATAATAAAAATGGATTCTAAAGCAACAATTTAGTGTACGTTAATTAATATTACATTTAAATATACACACATACCGTAGTATGAAAGTTGCAGTGCATGGATCTAGATACAGTGTGTCAATTTCACACAATTAAAAAAAATTAAAAAACGTGTCGAGTCCTAGATTTTCAAATTTTCCTACCAGTTTAAGATTACCCCTAGGCACTTCTACTAACGTGCAAAAGTTCATTAAAATCTTTTCATTATTGTCTGAAATATCAAATTTTACAGTTTTGGCCTGTCTTGATAAATTCGATATATCGATATATTCGATAAAAATGGGAATAGAGCATTTTTATTTTCTGATATGGGGAGACCTCGGTCCATACTACCTACGGTTTCACTATGTCTGTTTCCTAATGAAACACCTTATATAGTTTCTAGAGGAATCTCATAGGATTCGAAGCAATTTAGAGACAAATTAAATTCTAGCTAACAGGATACGATGTCGCTACTCACTATGAAAGAAATTTTGGAAGTCTCTTAGTCACTTTGTCCAGCTTTATTCTTCATTCTATCGCGAATATACTGGAAAATACCTGTCGCTGAGTCGCTAGATGAGAAAACGGTTCATTTGACACAAGAACATTAGCTCCCACTGCCATCATCATCGATGTTATGTTGGTAGAAGTTGAAACGCTTTCACTATCGTTTTTCAGATAATACAGCAAAAGAAAATATACCTGTCATGGAAAACATGGAGAATCTTAATTCAAGCGCTTCAGACGGATTTGATCCAATATCTAATTGGGTAGTTGAAGTTGATCCAGATGTCCTAAAAAAACTTGATTCTGACAAAAGTAAAGTGACTCCAGATAGAGACTTTCCTTTCAATAGCAGTTGCAAAAATGAAAAACAAATGAGAAAGAGCCCATTGTCTGAAGCGAAATGTCAACATACATTTAATGCCCCAGAGACGAGTTATATGGAGAATGAAGTCTCAGATCCAGCAAAAAAAAACAAAAATCAACATACTATCCCACTGGATATTAAAAAATGGTGTGCCTGATTTGATGGGATCTGCAATACCTACAGATGTTTACGAGTTCAGTGACAATATGGATGCGGACACGACTGTCAATTCCAGAGCTCATCCCTCTATGGAACAAGATATTCAAGTTATTGTTGTTCCATCTAAAGAGGAAGTAGAGCATTTATCAATGCCAAAAGACTTACCAATGATAGTTGATGAGATTTATGTTATCAATGGAGTTGACAAAAGCAATATTGAGTGTGCGCCTGTACAACTTATCGAAGATTATGTCCAGCTCAGTGGGCCCAACATATCAATCTCTGATTTAAAGGTATGTATAGACTGAATCTTAACTTTGCTTTCACTAGGTAAATATTAGATGTTCAATCTTTCGTTGAACACGGTGTCCCACTTGAGTAGAATAGAACCACTAACTTTGTTTCGAAAATAACTTCCGATGTCATAAATGCTCAAGAGTAATGAACATCTAGCTCAGTGAAGTGATGATATGATATGATGATTAAATATACATTTAAAGTATTGTCAAGCTCAAATCATAATTGAGAACAGAAGACGTACGATCTGTGATTTTTATTTTCTTTATGCTTTTTTGTACTGGTATCAACATTTTCACCACAACTTGTAGCATTTTTGTGCCAACAATTTACTTGACTCCTTGACCTTAGCATAAACTGTGAAATTTATAAACCCTACTTACGATATCTATTGTGGCTTTATCAGTACCTATTTTCAGAATGCAGATGAAGTTATCAAAGAAGCAACCCCACATGGAGATGATAAGGTAACTAGATCTTTATAGTATGCGAATTATATGTAAATATAATAAAAATATTTTGTTGATAGGCTACTGTAGAAAGGACACAAAAAAAGCATTATAAAGACAAACAGACACACTGCTTTTATTGTGAAAAGGACGTATCTCATTTCAGTAGACATATTGCAACCTGGCACCAGAATGAGTTTGATGTACAACGTATACTTTCGTATCCATCTAAATCAAAAGAAAGAAGACATGCTGTAACGACTTTGGCAAAACGGGGAAATTACCTTAGAAATAGATTCAATCCAAAGTTGAGACCGGTGAGACGAGTAACTTCAACTTCCTTACCATCAAGTAGGAGTAGTGATTTTCTGCCTTGTTCACATTGTCTCGGATTTTACAAGAACGCAAGTTTATACCGACACACTAAAAGCTGTAGCAGTCGCCCAGAAACATCCACCCAAAAAAGGCAGAGTGCCCAAAGTGATGGTCAGACAGCACTTCTAATGGGCATACAATTTAAACACGTTGAATTATTGAAAAAAATTCTATTTCCCCGAATAAGAGCCGATGGCATAGCACTAACTGCAAAAAAAGATCGTTTCATTTGCAATTATGCATACAGTAGGTCGAGAGTAAGGGCAACTTGGATTGTGTAAGGCAGAATGTTAGAAGGCTGGCTAAGTTATTATTATACGCTAGGGGAGAGAATGAAGCCATTAAAGAACTTATTGGTTGGCTAAGGCCAAAATATTTCAAATTAATTGTGGATGGAGTTAACAAGATCGGATGCTACAATGCACGGACGGATACGTATGAGTCACCCACTGTAGCTGTGAATTTCGGAACGCTTTTAAAAAATGTACCGATTTAGCATACATTCACCTGTTACAGGTAGAAAATACAGAGAAACAGAGAAAATAATTGAAAACTTTGAAGACTCTCATTCAGGCATAGTGGGCAGACGAAATCAGCGCTCAAGCGGGATCAAACTTGAGCGCTCAAAAGTGGAATAAAGAAGAGCTGTTGCCGTTAACATCCGATCTCAAAAAACTCAAACAATATCTAGAAGTGCTAGATCAGATTGCATTTGATAACTTGCAAGCTGATGAAAAAAATAAAGATGCTTACACGACACTAAAAGATCAAATTATACTTTTGACTAGAAGGCGTCCGGCAGAAGTTGCTCAGCTGAAGGTGGAAACGTACAAGTCTATTGATCTCAATATCAGAGAAAATGAATTTGAAAACTGTCTGACAGAAACCGAAAAGATCCTTTCCAAATCATGCAGCCGGATTATTATTAGAGGCAAAAGAGGTCGTGGAGTCCCCATTTTGATATCGCCAAAAATGAAAGAACACTTTCAGTTCCTAGTCAATGTGAGAGATAATTTTGTGGAGAATAATGATTATATATTCCACACCTATGGGAAATCTTTCGTTGATGGAACAAAAATCTTACACAAGTATGCATTGAAAAGTGGTGTTGAAAACCCAAAAAGTATCAGTGCTACTCGGCTGCGTAAACATTTAGCCACTGTTACCCAGCTACTACAATTTTCAGAGAGTGATATGGAACAACTATCAAAATTCATGGGACATACCCTAAAAACCCATTGCGACTTTTACAGGTTGTCAGACAGCTTATTCCAAACAGCCAAAATTTCTAAACTCCTTCTCCTTGCAACAGAGGGTGGTTTAGAGAAATATAAAGGAATGCCTTTAGATGAAATAAGCATCGATTTAAGTCCAATTTCTGAGGACTGCGATCTAGAAGATGTACTCCTGTCTGGAAACAGTGAGCAATCTATCTCGACTTCAAAAGGAACAGAGATACAGAAACCAAAAATGCCCGTTAAGAAACAGTCATGGACTCATGAACAGAAAAAGGTTATATCCGAGTATTTTGCAGAACATATAATAAAAAACGAGCTCCTAAGCAAATGGAAGTAATCAATTTTGTACAAGAGTATCCTGAATTTGAAGACCGAAAGTGGTCATCCATTAAAGCTGTTGTTTACAACATGTATACAGGTAAACTTTTATGCAACATGTCTGAAAATCTGTAACGCAAATTAAGCAAAAAATTTGACGATTTTTCATTTTTTTATGAAGCTTATGTTTTGTTAATCTTACACTAATATAAAATAGCTTTTGAAATTGTATTTTTTTCAATCATCCTCTAAAAGTATGGAGTTCTCCAAAACGGACGCAGGAAAGTAAACGCATATTAAAACAAGAATGATTGATATTCAAATCAAGTTGGGTACTTTAGTTTGAAGGTTCATTTATACCATTTATGTATTAAAAATAATATCGCTCAAATGTTCACCACGACTGGATTTACACACGTCCACGCGGTGGTCGAAATTTTCAATGACATTTTGCAACATGGTCGGTTCTATGGCATTTATCTCGGCAATGATGTTGTTTTTGAGTTCTTGGAGGGTGGCTGGTTTGTTGACGTAGACTTTGCTGTTCAAATATCCCCATCAAAAGAAGTCCAAGGGAGTCAAATCGCACGATCTTTGTGGCCATGGCACATTTCCTCTGCGCGAAATCACGCGATCACCGAAGAAGGACTGCAATCGATGGATATTGACGTTGGTTGTGTGGCATGTTGCACCGTCTTGTTGGAAATAAACATCGTCCATATCCATTCCTTCAAGTTGCGGCAAAAAATAGTCCTCTATCATCACGAGATATCGCTCAGAATTGACGGTAACGGCGTCCCCGGCCGCATTTTCGAAAAAGTAAGGTCCGATGATGCCTTTTGACCACAATGCACACCACACAGTCACTTTTTGAGGATGCATCGGCTGCTCTTGATACTCTTGGGGATTTTCGTTCGCCCAGATGCGGCAGTTTGCTTGTTCAAAGTGAAATGCGCTTCGTCGCTGAACATGATTTTTGATGAAAAATTTACATCAATTTGGCGGTGTTCAAGGAGCCAATCTGAGAACGTTCGGCGCGAAAAATGGTCGGCCCGACGGAGCTCTTGCGTCAATTGGATCTTGTAGGCGTGTACATTCAAATCCTTGTGGAGAATGCGGAGCAAACTGGTCCTCGAAATGCCCAATTCTTGGGATCGACGCGTTGTTGATTGTTTCGGATCGTCTCTCACACTCTCCTTCACAACAGCAATATTTTCCGGTGTGCGAACGCTCCTTGGCCGGCCAGAGCCTGGCAGATTTGCCACAGAACCTGTTGCCTCGAATTTACGCACCAGACGACCGATGGTTGTTTCGTTTGGGCGGTTGTTGCGACCGAAATGTTCACGAAGCGCGCGAAACGTGTTTTTTATTTTTGCACCATTTTTGTAGTGCTCTTGAATAACTTTAATGCGGTCTTCAATCGAATACGACTCCATAGCGATCAATGGGAAACATTCAACTAACAAAATGACATGTCGGTGACAGAAAACAAAGATGGCGTCTATGTCAAATTGACGTTTATTTTCCCGCGTCCCTATTGGACAACCCTTTATTTGTTGCTTGAGCAAAAGAAAGATTGTTGCTCAGAAATATTCAGATAATCCCTTTTTACGATATTATGCAATATCTTATAACCGTCTGTCTGTTTTATAACCTGTATACAATATAATAGGTTTTCCATCCTTGACAGATGAAAATATCACCGACTGCCCAGACAAATGACAGATATACACGCCGACGGAAATGGGTGATACGGATGTCTGTAATGTTTGTGTATTTAAATAACAAAAAAAACATGACAATTTGAGTCCAAAGTCTTTTTGACACGTAGTCTGTAATCAGCAAAAATAAATAAAAAATATAACAGTTTAAAGTAAATATTACATCAATACGTAATTACATGGTGTGAAATTATCGGATGAGTTTACCATTTCTCTTTTGTTGGGCAACAATGCATGGCTCAACTTTGTGTGTTCAACTTCATAGCGACGTCTAATTTGGCTCAGGTCTGATACAAATTACTAAGTGGCTCAGGAATGCATGGAATATATATGAATTTACAAGTCATCATTTCGCGCCAAAAATTTTTAATGCGCGGGAATTTAATTTGTATATGGCCGGAAACCGTTACAACATGGTCTATATCACAAAATATATACAACACAACAACAGATAAAATCAGCAATTCACAATGGAGCGGGTTTGTATGGAATATCAATTGGCTCAGGTATGATAGGAAGATGTATATTTATATATATATATATATATATATATATATATATATATATATATATATGTATATATATATATACTGATTGCAGTCCTGTCAATAACGTCACCACTCTTAAATCTGTACATATATATATATATATAACTTGAGACGTGGTCATTGTCGTCTAGACCAGTTAGGTGAAAAATTAAAATTAACAAGATCATTTTTAGTTCACCTTCCAATATTTTGCCGAACTCTGGTGATGCAGGTAATAGTCGCACAACCCCTAATAACGGAACTGATGTAATTCCCAATAATAACATCAATCCTAACAGTACTAGCACCAACCCGGACTCCAGACCTGGTTTTGCTGTCCTGCCCTACATCAAGGAACTGACCCCTAAGCTGATCAGATTGTGCAGTCCTTTGAACTTTCGAATTGCTTGCAAATCCGTCCTCACTATAAACTGCATTTTTTCAAAAATGAAAGACAAAGTCCCGCTGCTTGGCTTAACCAACACAGTCTACTCCATCAATTGCAACAACTGCAACCAAATATACATAGGTCAGACCTCCAGATCTCTTAAAGGAAGGATTACATCACACAAAAGTGATGCTAGGCTTCATCCTGAAAGATGCGCTCTAGCATCTCATGTTAACACAACAGGGCATTCTATGAATTACACAAGTATCAAAGTTCTTGATAAAGAAAAACACCTTTCCAAACGTTTATTCCTGGAAATGTCCCACATTTTCATGAATAACAACTGTATCAACAAAAAGACAGATGTTAAACAACTGAGTGTCATTTACTCATATTTGCTAAACTGCGAAAAATTGGAGAACTTACATATCTCCCCAAATTTCAACTCTTCACAACCATAATTAGAATCTGTGTTTTGGCCGTTTCCACCAGTAAATTTCATTCCACTCAAAATATAGTAATTCTCTCCTCACGATTTATTAATATTTGTTAATTTAAATTCCCATTAATAATAATATAGTTTATTCAACTGCCTCTGGTCGGTTTAACAAATTCTAACATAAAATTCTGAAAATCTCATCATCTGAAGTGATTTGGCAACGTTTTGGCACACGCCCACAATTCGTTCCATCTTTCAATACTGACATTGACATCCTTCGGCCTTCTGTCAAAGGGTTTCATGTCACTCATCAATTCATCATTCCATGACCACTAATTTGTGCAATCATCAGGTGGTTTCACGATGTAATGCTCTAATTTTTAAAATAATTTTTAATCTGTTTTTAACTTGTTCTTGTCATGTGTTTTGTATAAATTTTGACTATTGTGCAATCTATTCAGCTCTCACCATGTTACTGGACGTTTCCCTCATCCTATACGTAAACAACAATTAGCAACATCCTCACATACTACTGTAAGTTGAGTCAATTTAAATTCATTTTACACCTTTGTTGCTACTGTTATCATTGTAATTGCAGCTCCTGATGATGATGGCAAAGTCCATTGAAAGCTAGAGAGAATTAAAAAAAGTATAAAGAGTCCTCTTTGCTTAAATCTTGTCGAAGTACCCAACAAAAGGCGGAAGCTTTAATTTTTCACCTATATATATATATATATACATGTTCAATTTGTTATCTTTGTACTTTATACAAAGTTGAGTCATTTATTTTAACTGCTTGTACGACTCATTAAAAGGAGTTGATATACCAAAAATCACGTAATAGGAATGTCTTTTAAGTTTTGCATATAGAAACATAGTAGGCCGCGCGGATCGAACGTCAGTACTGAATCTTAACCTCACTCTTTAGTAAACTTAAATTCAAAGTTTCACGACAATACGTGCAGTGTTCTCACTACAGTGAATTTTTAAGTGTCACCAAGCCATTAGAAAAATGGAACTCAACCGAGAACATTTTCGCGCCATAATTTATTATAACTTTCAGAGACAATTATGGCAACAAGAATGCCACATCAGTCGACAATTTCCCGTTGGTATAGAGAATTCAAACGTGGACGGGTGAGTCTTAGCGACGGTCCCAAGGTTTGTGCACCAAAAACGGCAGTCACCCAGGAAAACGTCGATGCTGTGCGCAAACTCTTCATTGAAGATAGACATGTGACATATCGCGAGATTGAGGCGTCCTTGAAGATCTCAAAGACCTCAATTAAAAAAAAATTACATGAAGAATTAGGAGTAAGAAAATTAGTTTCTCGTTGGATACCCCACCTGTTGACTGAAGAGCAGAAAGCAGCCAGGGTTAATTGGTGTCAAAAAACGCTTGACCGTTTCAATTCCGGAAACTCAAAAAATGTGTACAGCATTGCTAGTGGTGATGAATCATGGATTTACTGTTATGAACCAGAAAATAAACGACAGTCGGCTGTTTGGGTGTTCCAAGGTGAAGAAAAGCCAACAAAAGTCATCCGTTCTCGAAGTGTTTCGACAAACATGGTCGCGACATTTGTGTCAAAAGCGGGTCATATTGCAACAATTCCTCTTAATGAGCAAAGAACTGTTACTGCGGATTGGTATACCACCATTTGTTTGCCAAAAGTCATTACCGAGCTTCGAAAAATCAACCCCGAAAGAAGAATCATCCTCCACCAAGACAATGCAAGCTCGCACACAACCCAAAAAACAAGGCAGTATTTAACGGAAGAAAACGTGGAATTATTGGACCATCCTCCATATAGTCCCGATCTAAAGTCCTAACGACTTCTTTACTTTCCCAAAAATTAAAAACAGACTGCGTGGTCAAAGGTTTAAGTCACCAGAACAAGCAGTTGACGCATTCAAAAATGCCGTTTTAGATCTACCAGCAAACGAGTGGCATAAGTGCTTCGAAAATTGGTTCGAGCGCATGCAGATGAGTATTAATCTTCATGGAGAATACTTCGAAAAACAATAAAGTCATTTAAAACTACCTACCGAGTTGTTTTATTTCCATATGCAAAACTTAAAATTGACATCCCTCGTATATTAATGTTGCATAATAAAAGATATTATAGTAAGAGATTAAAAATAAAAAAAATTAGAACGTTATTACACAGATTTTTTGATATTCTCGACGACTGCCGTGTAAAATCTTAGTGTTTTTTGTTTATTGTTTATCTAAATTTGGCAAACTGTCATTGTATGGTTTTCAGTACGAGTCTTTGGCTCGATCAGTTGTATCAGTCTTTTAATAGTGCGTATACTTTCATTTTTTCATGTTCAACATAAATTTTCATTAAATGTTTGGGCTGGCATGGTAAATGGCATGCTTACTGGACCCTAATTTTTTCCACCTCGACTGGCAGGTGAAATTTATGTGGATTTTCATCGACACAATCTGCCACAATTATTAGATGTTCCTCTAAATGTGAGACAGAATATGTGGTTTCTACATGATGTGGCTCCACCACATTTTAGACGAGAAGTTCATGAACATCTAAATAATGAGTTTCCGAATAGATGGACACATTTCTTGGCCTGCTCGCTCCCCGGACTTAACGCCTTGCGATTTTTTTCTGTGGGGCTATTTGAAATAGTTCATCATGATGAGCAGTAAATGTTCTGGAAGAATTTCAACAGCCCACTGAAAATGCTTGTGATGTAATTCGTGGAGACCAGGATTTTATTTTCAAAGCTTGTAAAGAGTCATGGATTCGTCGAGCAAGATTTTGCGTTAATCGAACAAATCGGGCAACTTTGAACAGTTTTTGTACAAAATTTAACTGGATAACGATAACGATTTTTTTATATACTTCTTAATAATGTAACCTATTCTTATTATGCAACTTCTATATGGGTGAGTTTTGGTATATCGACTTCTTTTGACGAGCTCTACAAGTTGTTAAAATAAATGACTTAACTTCGAAAACACCCTCTATAGTACAGTGAAAGCTCTCTTAACGAGCAGCTCTACAACCGACCATCTTCCTATATTTTAACATAGAAAGTACACTCCAATAAGCGGGCACTCTAATAAACGGTCGCGGGCAGCAATTTTTGCACATAGGACGAAATAATATCTCCTATAAGCGACCGCGAAACTCTAATAACCGAGCAAATGAAGTTTAACCGTTACTTTAATATAGAAATTCGGTGATTCCCGCAAGGTTTTGGGGGATTTACAGTATTACACGATCACAAGTTGTTATGTTAGAGGTTAGAGTGGTTTATTAGTGCTAGAAACCCATATGTGGGGGCTTGTAAAAGAAAAAGCAAAGGAAATTGCACAAAAATATGGTTATCAAAAGTTTAGTGCACCCGATGGGTGGCTTCAAAAGTGGCGTAAAAGAAACAATGTTAGTTTTAAATGCATTTCTGGTGAAGCGGCCGATGTAAATCAAGAGAATCGATGCATTTATAGAGAAACTTCCTTCATTGCTTTTGGGATACCAATGTAAAGACATTTACAATGCCGATGAAAGCGGTCTATATTTTCGTGCACTTCCGGATAAGACACTGGCTTTAAAGTCTGAAAAGTGTTCGGGGGGAAAATTATCGAAAGAAAGACTAACCGTATTATTCTGTGTAAGCATGACTGGACAAAAAGAAAAACTGTTAGTGATTGACAAATCTGCACGCCCTCGAGCATTGAAAAATGTAAACATTAAGGATTTACCTAATATGTGGAAATCAAATAAAAAAGCCTGGATGACACGCGAAATAATGGGTGAGTGATTAACCGAGTTGAATCGAAAAATGGGCATTAAAAATAGAAAAATTCTGCTATTTTTAGACAATGCTACATCGCATACTCGAGACTTACATCTAAAAAATGTTAAAATTATCTGTTTGCCTTCAAACACAACAAGCATGTGGCAGCCACTGGATCAGGGCATCATTAAAATTTTACGTTTTATTATCGTAATCAGATTTCAAAACATACTTTATTAAATATGGATTGTGTTAAATCATCCTCCGAATTATCAAAAAAAAAATGTTTTGGAGGCATTGTACTTTATAAAAACGGCATGGCAGAATGTTAATGAGACAACAATACGAAATTGTTTCCGAAAAGCTGGGTTCAGAAGAGCTGGGCAAGAGGTTCCTCATTTTGATCCCGAGGATGAATTACCATTATTTGTTTTCGCAACGAAGGTCCGAGCTGCGGATAAGCTGAAGATTATCAACGATCAAAATTCAGATGAATATGTCAGCATTGATCAAAACACTCCAACTGAAGAAGTTGCCGAGCTTGAACATTTAGTCGTAGAACTAGGTGGTGAATCTAATCAAGAAAATGAGACGGATGATGAAATTGAGGAGATTCAAGAAGAGGAAAATAAAGTAAAAGGCTATGATGAAGCCTTAATTTATGTAAAAGAACTGAAAAACTTCGCAAAAGATGACAATGTTGCCTTTGAACAAATTACAAATTTGGAATGTCATTTCCAGAAATGTCGTGATGATGCAAAGCAAAAAACTTAACCAAGCGGCTATTCTAACATTTTTTCAAACTGTTTATAAATAAGTTTTCTGTCCTTTTGTTGTTATTTAAAAAATTTGTTTTCGCATGTCATTAATACATATGTATGTACGTATTTCATTATACATACATATATGTAATTATAAATTATAATTTTATGAAAGTACAATGTGTACATACATGTCTTAAAAGACTTAGGTAAATATATGTAATTATAATATTATACTTGATAAATTTATATACATATGTAATAGTATGTATGTACATACATATATGTTATCGTGTCACATTCACACACACATTCACTAGAAAGTTTTCAAGACAGGTACTTGGTGTGGGAGTGATCCTAGCAGGTTCAGTAAGTATAAATTTGAATCCTTAACATCCCATGAGATCCATAAAAAAGTGACTATTTGTTAAAAAATCCACAATAAAATCTCCACCAATAACGTATGCCTTTCAGTAGCATTGATGAAATTTAGCAAGCCATCAAGGTAAAAAAAAACAATCCACATAGTATTTAATCTCTGACACTACTCAACAACATTCACATACTCCTTCAACAGAAAACAGACACATCAATAACCTACCAGATAGTAACTCTTTCCTAGAATAAGCTGTTCATAATGTTTAATTTCCAAGTTTGAAAACGTTCAGTTGGGAAAATGTTGGGTTATTTCTTAGCCTAAGGGCCGCGACCGTATCGTTCAGTCGTTCCTACAATTATTATAGGAAGCCTTCATGGCCTCCTTGATTGTCATAGCTTTTTACTGTTCCGAGTCAGCGCTATATCTTGAGGTTAAGTCACAGATATCTATTTGCATCATATTGTTCATGATTTTTATTTGTATCATCCTTTTTATCAGCCTGAAATTTTCTACGATTCAAAAAGAAAACATCTTCACAATAGGAGAGTGCTGACTCTGACACGGAACAGCAGAAATCTAGAAATATCCCTGAAGGAGAGAAAATACTATGGAAATCAATGAGGCCATAAAGGCGTCCTACAGTTGTAGGAACGACTGTCGATAGAGCCCTAAGAAGTAACTTTCCCAACATTATTTAGTATCGTATCGTATATTTATTTCAACAAAGATACATAAAATGTAGATAAACACGTCAAGTAATAAATAAATGCAAAAATTAATGCACACTATACATTAAATCAACAAACGAAGACCTCGGTGCAAATCCAGGTAAGTCACATTATAGAAAAAAACTGAATATTTTATTTCAAAAATATGGAAAAGAAGTCCTATTTTATTTTAATTTGGACTTACCTGGTTTTTGTCCAGAACATTATATTGAAATAATGGAAAAATTAGTTCAAACAGTTTTAATAGTCAAATAGAACAAAACCAATACAATTTCAAAAAGGGATAACAAAAGTAAATCTTCAATTACATAAATGATGAATCGGAGTCATAACCATCATCACCTGTACCAACTACTTGTGGAACTTCAATATTTTCGATTGTACCATAGATCGGCGGTATTTTGCTGATAAAAGTTCAACATCAGCAGCCTTTTTTCATTAAGCAGCAAAGGATAGGATTGTATTAAGTATATGTGAACTTGGAAAGCACAATAAATTTTATTTTTCAATGTAAAACCTTGAAAAAACTGGGATGGAAGTTGCAATATGTACTGCATTCTACACATTTAAATTCTTTGTGATACTGGTAAAGTTGGTAGATTGAAATGTCATTTTTCAGGGCAGCGTATGCGTTTCTTGTCTTTTTTAGGGGGGACGTCAATATTTTGAAACTTTTTTAGTTTTCTTACTTTTTCTTTTGTTATTCAGGCGCTTATTGACACGGCTAGGGACAGGGATATTTTCAACAGTCGGTGTATATTCGTTTCTTGACGACTGAAAAGGATTTTCTTCTAATGACATATGACAGTGCAGTGGGAACAACACTCCGTTACCCCGTTAAAATTTAGTTTGCATACTAAATCACGCCTCGCGACGCGACAACCACATGACCACACGATCGGTTCCCCTTAAACATGTTTGGTATCTGGGTAGCCAGACCTTTTTTTTTTATACTCCAACTACCACGAAGGCCTAAGGCCTAAGCACTCATTGGGTACCGTGAGGCTATAGGGGGATACATGGGAAAGGGGGAACGCCACATGGACTCTGGCGAGGGAACACGTGTGCATGCAACATGCACACATTCTGGCTCCGCCTACGAGATCCGCCGGGTGGTACCTCCGCGTTCGACAGTCAGAGACCGTCTACCACCTACGGACAATCACAACATCCATAGCCAAAAGAAAAATTTCTCCTGGGACGGGACTCGAACCCGCACAGCGCACGGCGACTGATCAGGAGACCGAAGAGTCTACTACTGCGGCCACCGCTGCTGCCTAACAGACTAACAGTTCGACGAGACTTTTAACTAAGAGCAAAGGTCCACCGGATCGCTCTGACGAACAATGACGAATAGTATAAAGTGTATCTAACGAAGCTACAAAGTAATCGTAAACAGTGGTTGATTCGTGATCAACGCGTGATCGGTAGCCATGGCGCTCTGTCGGCCTCTTCCTGATTGGCTTGTAGCGACGAGCCTCCAGACAAAGTCGCACGGTTGCCACGCTCGGCGAGTTTTCGCCAGAGTGGTTGATCACATTCGCATGGATCACAAATCAATCTGTTGGTGCAATACGTGCAATAACTGTTGTAAAGGACATTCTATAACAATAAATGGCATCACAAAGGTATATTCCAATTTGATCTGCAGCAAATTATGAACGGCATATTCGGAGATGCGAAAACAAGCTCAAAAAGGTGAAGAAATTTTTTGTGCAATCTTTATAGTTAAATTTTTCCTAAGAGATAGCATCAGTGAGGGAATTTTTTTCTATTGTCTTATTTTTCACATTAATGCGATGTCGAGGTATGTGGCCCTATCGCAATTGAAAATAAGGTTTCGATAATCCTTCCATTCGATGAGTACATCTGAAATAACCTTGAGATATTCTTCAGGGAAATACAAAAATCTCCTTTTGTGTTTTTTGTGCAGATTTATCTATTAAAATCCTATCCGCAATCTATTTTCCGTGCACACACCTTCAACCGAATGTATGCCATATATGATATTACCGTTTCCAACTTTCACCAAGGTTAATAGGAACCATAACAGCTCCCTACCCTTCCCCCCTATAAGAATATCGATTTGTAGCCTCACATTTGAAGGTTTGACTTCTTGTAATGTTTCTGTTCAACATTCGGCGATTTCTGACAATTTTCCCAATAAAACATGATCATTGTGACATTAAGCCTGGCAACGCTGCATAGTAGAGGGAACTCTCAGCGTCACGTTGATGGTTCGTCACCACGCACAGGATTGTAATCAGTTACGGATACCCGTTTATGAGCGCGAACGTTTTATGCACGTCTTGACTTGATTTTTCTTGCGGAAATTTAATATTAGTCTAAAATGTCTGACACAGATACAGCTGATGAAGTGGTTGAAATCAGCTTAACGTCACCCAGAAAATGGGCTAAAAAGCTTCATCTTAGCGCAGGTGAAAAACAAATTATTCTAAATATCTACAAGAACCAGATGCAAGAGAATAGTGGATTGGCTATAGAAAATATCGTATGTAAGGTTGCTGAAATTTCTGGAGTAGGTCGATCAAGTGTTTACAAAATCTTGAAGGAATATAGACAAAATCACTCACTATCTGAGCCAAAAACATATCCAGCGAGAAAAAAAATCATCGAAAAAATAGATGACTTTGACAAAAGTGCCATTAGAAGAAAAGTACATCACTTTTTCTTCAGGAATGAAATACCTACAATAGATAAAATATTGAAGCAAGTGAATGATGATGAGGACCTGCCAAATTTTAAAAGATCTACGTTCCATAAGCTGTTGAAAGAACTAGACTTTCGATTTTTGAAAAGAGGAAGGAATAGTTTATTGATAGAAAAGGAGGAAATTGTTATCTGGAGGAGAGAATACCTTAGAAAAATTAGGCAATTCCGCGCTGAAGGAAGAAAAATTTATTATTTAGACGAAACATGGGTGAACGCGGGGCATACGCAGGGAAAGGTTTGGGTAGACAGATCTGTGAGGTCCTCAAGGCAGGCTTTTTTAGATGGCCTTTCGACGGGATTGAAAAATCCTGCAGGTAAGTTTCGAAGTATATGAACTTTTTTGGATGCAGATAATTCATTTTCTGATCGAATCAATGATTTGGAAGCTCCGAACTCAGTTTTGCTATCTCATCCAAGTTTCTGAGTATTTCCTTCACCCAAAAACTAATCTAAGACCCTATCCTACACTAACCTAAAAAGAGTAAGTTGCTTAATTTCGTCATTTAGTGCGCTCGCTGAGAAGTAAAATAACTAATTACTTTCAGGCAAGGGAAAACGCCTGATCATTGGCCACATAGGTAGCGTAGATGGATTTGTTCCTGAAGCATTGTGGGCATTTGAATCCAAAAAAACTGGAGACTATCACGAAGAAATGAATGGTAACTCATTTGAAAATTGGTTCAAAAAAATTTTGCCGACACTTGATGATAACGCAATTATTGTGATGGATAATGCCCCGTACCACTCCAGAAAATTGGAAAAAATTCCAACAATGGCCACCAAAAAGGCAGACATTCAACAGTGGCTTGTCTCAAAGAAGATCGACTTCGACCAAACAATGGTCAAAGCTGAGCTGATAAATATAGTCAAGCGACATAAGTATAAATATGATTTAAAAATTGTTGACGAAATGGCCAAAAACCAAAATAAAACGATTCTCAGGCTGCCTCCCTATCACTGCGAACTGAATCCTATCGAGTTGATTTGGGCCGACATCAAGCAATACGTGGCATCAAATAACAGCACTTTTAAGTTTTCTGACCTTAAAAACTGTTTGATGTTGCTGTCGATAGAATTACGCCAGCAAAATGGAGAACATGTATTGACCTTGTCCAAGAGAAGGTTGAAACCAAAATGTGGGATATGGACAATATCATTGACACCCAAGTTGAACCCCTTATAATTGACATCAACAATTCTGATGATTCAAGCTCCTCGGAATACAGCATATAAATCGATTGATACCATTAAGACTGGCAGTTTAACGGGCTTTTTGGCAAGACAGGTAAGTTCATTATAGACTGCAATCAAAGTGTAAGTTTCTAGTTATTAATGTGGAAATTCCAAATTTATAATTACACAAAATTAGGGTTAATTTAGGAGTTCCAAAGCATAATAGTGCCATTTTGACCTTCTTCCTATTTCTCATGTAAATTTTAATAGCAATCAAACTAACAAACTTTATGGAGTCTGTAATAAACTTTTGTACTACTACTACTACGTCTGTAGTTTCTATTTGCTCAAAAAAATTTGCTCCGCATTGTGAATAGAAGGTTGATTTGTAAATATTATTGGGTATATATGTAATTTAATAATAAAATATGAACAATTTCAATTGAGATGGTCCACAAGTTTTTTTCGTGTGCGTTTTAGTAAAATTTTGCTGAAATGGTGAATACAGAATTTTTTGCACTGATTCCTAATGTCGAAATATGATTAGAAAGGCGTGGTATATTTCTGATAATTTACTATGCTTTTGATAGAATTTACAGCAACACATATCTTGTACGACATTTTTTGATAGATCAGTCACAATAGCTTGATACGGCCCTGTAGCGTCTCCTACGGTTAAGTTCTTGATCACGTGCAATACGGGTGTATATGTTTGATTTTACTTTGTTTCTTCGATGGATACAGTTTTAGGTATACACGATCGGATCCAGATAAGGCCATACCTATGCAAAATGACCTCGGTCCTCGGTATGCTCTGGACGTCAGATTTATGCTACCGATACTTGACGGTGAAGTGAAATACAATGCTATTCCACATTAGAAGCGTTGAACTAATAATTAAATAAACGATCCTCAATGATTTAAATATACTACGTGACATTAGAAGTGTTACACCCAGAAAAAATAATTTCAACTGTTTTTTTTTTGGCAACATAATGACTATATTTAAAGCATGTTGTGGCAACAATGTCAACGTTTTATCTGTGTTTTAGTTTACCTTTGTTCATGTTATCTCTTAGTTTTTGTGAAAAAAGCAATTTCTGAGAGCTGAGTAGTACAGATATTTTTAGTTATTTCATTTACTAGTGTTAAGCACAACAAAATGCTTCGAGTTCGAAGACGTCCAAGTTATCACCATGTTAGCGACTTTGACAGGGCTAGAATTATTGCCTATCGAGATGTTGGTTTGTCCTATCGCGAAATTGGCCCCCGTGTTAATTGTACTGCAATGACGGTAATGCGTGTGTGTCGTGTGTAGATATAAGAAGGTAGAGGAACACGAAGAAGGCCGCCTGATCCACTGAGGCGTACCACAGTGCGTCAAGATAGACGATTCAGACAACTAGCCCTTCGAGACCGTTTTGCTACTACTCGTCAGATCGCTGACCAGTGGTTTGGAGAAGAAGGTCGACCTGTGCTATGCGTACACTCTATCGCCGCGTTCGAGCCTTTGGACTTCTCATACCGTCCACGGTTAGTGCTTCCTCTGACTGCAGATCACTGTCGTCAACGTTTGAACTGAAGCAGAGAACGGCAGCATTGGGAGACAGAATGGCGTAATCTCATCTTCAGCGATGAATCGCGATGCTGTCTAGGTACTCACGATGGTCGTAGAAGGGTAAGAGGGCGGAGAACGGCGTGACATTGGATTTGCTGTTGAGATGCATGTACGCAGGACTGCTGGTGTAATGGTTATTGCCTATGGTAGCCAATTACCCCTTTTTGTTCAAGGCAATATGACTGCTGCGCGTTATGTTGATGATGTCCTACAAACCACTTTACTGCCGTATCTAGAGGGCCGTACACACGTCCTTTTTCAGAGACAAGACACGTCCCCATATTGCTCGTCGTACTACGGACTTTCTTCGAGAAGCAGGCGTTAATGTTTTGAGGTGGCCATCCTGATCACCAGATTTAAACCCCATCGAATATATGTGGGATGTGATAGGGAGGAGACTCTCCACTTTGTACCATCCACCACAGACTCTGCTTTAGCTAATCCACGAAGTTCGAGTTGCTTGGAATAAGGTGCCAGACATCGATTATCTAATTTTGTCGATGTCTAGACGTACACCGGAGTGTATTCAGTTGCGGGGTCGGTCAACACATTAATTTTGTTTCTTATTATTTATCAATAATATTTCGTGAGCATGGTATCGTTTCATTCGTGACGTAAGACTACCTCATTGCTAAAAAATCAAGTTTTTTTCTGGGTGCTACCCTTCTAATGTCACTGAGAATACTTAAAATATTCAAAAAACAATTTTTGATAAAAATTGAACTCACCTGGTTTATGCACCGAGCTCTTCATGCGTTCGTCCAGAGCAAAGTTGCGCGTCTTTAAGAACATGACATGCATGTTGGTGTGTCTGACCAGTTTTCAATAGCTTATTCGATGTACTATTTTGCGCAATTATACACTGTTCACTGTAGATTCTAGTTCAAAACCATGTATAAAAAATTCCTGAGTGATCGTGAACAACGCACCGCGGTGACTATAGCATACGCCGGTCACCCAGCAACACGCGTAGCTCCACTCCTCGCTAGCGGCCGTCAGGGTTGTTGTAAAAATCCTATGTAATGCCAAAAAAAGATCAATGTCAACTTGTTGAGTGGTAGTGTGTAAATAGTTCAATAGTTTAATCCGCGTCTGCTACAAATGAACATGAAGTGAACGACAGCTAATTTCTAGTTGACATCTTGTAGGAAAGCCTATCCAATTGTACAACTATATCTTAAAGACGTTTTAAAAACGTCGTTTTTAAGATATTCGAGACGTCGTAAAGACGTCTTGTGAACGCTGTACGATATCTTAAAGATGTTGTAAAGACCACGTTTGTTACAAAAACTTCCGTCTTAAATACGTCTTTCTAATACGGTAAGATAATAATAATAATAATAATGTTTATTGGAGTATTAATACATAATATAATCAAAATACGAGCAAATAATATAACACAAAAAAAAAATAATACTCCAAAGGGCTGGGGATTGGCATAGCCATTTTTCACCCCCGCCTGAATATATATACATATATACATATATACATATATACATACATATATACATATATATACTAAGGTATATCATATACATAACATAAAGGACATTTGGTTGACTATAATAATGCTAACAAAACTTTAAAATATAATAAGATTAATAATGAGATTTATTCAGCCACTTGTGGATTCATTAAATTGTAACTGTAATAGCATTCTTTTGAATTCTCTTTTGAAGCTGTGAATGGACGTTAATTTAAAGAAACTTGGGTAATTATTTAGTATACTGGGAGCTATGTAATAGAAACATTTTTTAAATTTTGAGGTAGTGTGGGCTGGTATATTATAACAATATTCATTACGGAGGAACAGTTGATGGAGTGAAGATCTTTTCTCTAATGTGTCAAAAAGATATTTCGGAGATTTATATTTTAAAACCTTAAATAGTAGAACAGCATAGAGAAGTAACGAGCGATATTTGAACTTTAAAAGATTTTCCCTTACATAATACCCAGTAATGTGTTCGCGTCTGTTTATCTCATTGAAACAAAACCTCATACAATGGTTTTGTAAAACTTGAATTTTCTGTTGCATTTCCTCAGTAATAAAAGGGTAATATACAGTACTACAATAATCTAAATGTGTGAGGATTAATGCATTAACAAGTTTTAGTTTGATATCACTTGTTAATATATACTTATATCTCCATAGCGATTTGTATTTATAATAACATATTCTGAGCTTATTTATAATGTGACTTTCAAAACTTAAATTCTTATCAAGTACTATTCCCAAATTTTTTGTTTCTTCAACAAGTTCAATGTTAATTCCTTCTAAAAATATGTTCATATTTATTACTTGTTTACACTTCAGAATCGCTAGTCTAGAACCAACACAACATACTTTGGTTTTCAAGGGATTGAGCTTCAAACAATGATTTTTTGAGTACTGTTCAATTATGTCTAAATTTTTATTAAGTTCTAATATTAAAGAATTTACATCGGTTGGTTGACATGGTTTGTAAACTTGTACATCATCCGCATACAAATGTACATTCCAGTCAGATGATATATGTTTTATCAGATCTGAGGTATAAATAGTAAATAAAATAGGACCTAAAACGCTGCCTTGTGGAACACCAGACTTCAAAGCTCGTAAAGTAGACACTTTACCACGCAATTTTACACATTGAGATCTATTAAACAAGTAATTACTAAACCACAGCATGGCATTTCCGGTCAAACCATAATGGTGCAGTTTTTCACACAAAACTCTGTGATTTACCATGTCAAATGCCTTGCTGAAGTCTAGCATGACTAGTAGCGTTATCATGCCATCGTCTATAAATTTCACTATATCACTGGAAATTTTAATGAGCGCTGTAGATGTATTATGTAATTTCCTAAACCCAGACTGGGTGTCAGGCAACACTTTGTTGATTTCTAGATGCTCACGAAGTTCATCATCTACAATTTTCTCTAACAGTTTGGACATTGAAGGTAAAGCACTTATTGGTCTGAGGTCCTTAAAATCGATAGCATTATTAACTTTTGCAAGTGGTGTTATTACTGCTTTTTTCCATAATGATGGCACTTCCCCTGTACTCAGTGATTGGTTGATGATACTGGTTAGCTGATATTTACAAAAAGAGAACACGTTTCTCAACATGTTTGTAGTGATACCATCAACACCCGCAGCATTTGACTTGACTTCTTTCAGTTTTAGTTCAACTTGGTCTGATGTAACATGATTAAATGAAGACTTGCATACTATAGAATTTTTTTGATATGAGAATGTGTTAAGAAATAAGTCATCTGGCTGCAGGTTTGGTACAGAGTTAATAAAGTGATTATTGATGCTTTCAGCGTTTTCAAGGTCTTGTGATATGTGTTTACTGGATTTTGTGTGTATATTCCACCTGGAGAAACTATTCCACATCTGTTTAGGATTATTATAATACTTATTAAGCTGGAATTTTATGTAAGCTGTTTTTTCATTCTTCAAAGCTATTCCTAAATAATTTCTTAGATCACTATAATATGCACGATGTTCTTTATTTCTGGTTCTTCTGAACTTGTTGTATGCTTTCCGCTTCAAATTTATTATACACTTGATTGTATGTGTCACATAAGGTCTGTAGTTCTTACGTGAAGTAATTCTTTTCAATGGGGCATGTATATTGTAGAGCATAATAATAGTTTCGGTAATGTGAAGAACTTTGTCATCAAGACTTGGTAAACCATCTATGTAGCTCCATTCCATAGAAGCAGCATCCTTGGCAAACTCAACGTGATCGAAATGCGAGAAATCTCTGTAGTAAAATATTGCAGGTGTGTATTCCGGAGTTTCAATTTCCAACTTACAGAAGCACAATCTGTGATCAGTGACTTCTGGCATGTCTAGAGTTCCACACTCGTAAACAGTGAGTGTATTTGTTGTAAAAATGATATCGATCATTGTTGCTGTATTTGCTGTTATTCTTGTTGGTTCATTAATTACGCGGTTCATGTTGAATAGAGACATCATTTGCAAAAATTGTTTGCTTTGGCCAGCATGCTCATCGGTGAGGTCGATGTTGGTATCGCCCAATAGTATTGCTTCATCATGTGTGACGTATATAAAGGCAAGGATATTTTCCAAATCGGATAGAATGTTTAGTCGACTGGACGGTGGTCGGTAGATAACACCTACTGCAATACTCTTGCTCTCGAATTTTAGTGACAACCAAAGATGTTCAATGCCATTTGAAGGAATATTCCGAAGATCTATAATTCTGTACTTTATGCTAGACTGGATGTAAAAACATACACCACCACCTCTTCCTTCTCTATCGTTTCTTATAAGCTGGTAGTTAGGCAGAGAAATCAAATCAGAGGGGAAGTCTGAAGAAAGCCAAGTCTCAGTTAACGCTATGATGTGGAAATCTTGTTCTAGAATGGTGTCTGCTAACATATCGAAGCTTGAGATTAGTGACCTAACATTGACATGGGATACAGTTAATCTATTGTTCTGTTTTGTAAAGCCTCCGCAGTTAATTGGAATGGTATTATTTGGCGTAACTTTTAAATTGCATCTTGATTGCTATATAGAATAGTTGATGTTGTTCCTGGCTGTTTCAATCTTCTTCCTCATGATTGAACAATTAATTTTATCGAAAGCAGAGTGATCAATACTAAGGCTCAACTTAAATTTTTTGTTAAATTCCAAACAATTCGGGCAAGATACTTTAGAGTTTAAACATGTATCAGCTTTATGACCCTTCTCTCCGCATTTCATACAGAACATGTCACTTTTACATTTATTGGCCGTATGGTTGTAGCCACTGCAATTATAGCACCTCAATACATTGATGTGCTCATAAACAGAACATATTGTTAAATTAATGCACAGTATACCATTTTCTAGAATATTGTAAAATGTCTTTGGGTCACATTCTATGATAGCAAAGAACCTTGTCCTCATCTGTTTAAATTTAAGAACTTTTAAATAAGCACCTTTTTCTATAAAAATATTTTGTTGTTTTATCACTTCGATAAGGGTTTCATTATCAATCATTTGTTCAATCCCCACAACTTTCAATTTAGGATTTTGGCGATTACTTACAACTCTTGCACTGTATGAACTGCCCAGTTCCTTGTTTACTACATCGTTTATCTTTTGGACTCCATTTTTATCTGCACATGAGATTTTCAGGGTACCATTATCAGCTTGCTTAACTCCGGTTACCTTCACATTTAACTCGGCGGGCTTTAAAATTTTCAAAACGTCATTTTTCGTTTGTAGTGCTTGCTGTATCTCTTTAGGTTTGATAATAACGCTGTTTGAGTTTTCGTTTCTCACCACTGAACTGTACTGTGGTCTCACTTTGTTTGTGTCGTTAGTTGTAATATTAGTATCAACTTGTTCTACTGATTTGACCGTTTGAGTTGTTTCGCCACACTTTTTGCTTATTATTTCAATTTTCTCGTAGAGTAAGTCAATTTTTTCATATAATTCTTTAATTATAATATCTTTTGCTTTAATTACTTCATCTTTTGATATGATAAGCTGTTCGTTGACTTTTATGATATCATTGATTAACTTTTCGTTGATATTAACACTTTTATCAATATTTTCTCCTTCTTCCGAGTTCTTCTTGCTTTTATTTCGTGTACCTTGGCTCATGACTTACACTTCTGTACTTGGCTATTTTCTGGTACTACGTCGATACACTATAGACTCTTCTAGTGTGATTTGTCACTTTCTTGACACAAATTCCAAAAATGTCAAAAATATCGTCCAAGATGGTTGAAAATTCTAATACAGCACCAAGCACTATCACCAACAAGTTCACGAGCACCTTATTTTCTTTACTCCAGCTGGGCACCTTCGTTGTTAAAAGCCTTTATCTTTTTCTCAGGATTCACAGGTATTTATACTAATTGTAGTTAGCATACAGGCATATGTCTCAACAAAGATGCTTAGGGCGGCACTATAAAAATTTGTTTGGGTTATCAAACTTTTTCTGGGTGACTGTCCGGCGATCTGAAGCTCGTCTCAGCCAAGCCCCGACTGCTAGCTCCACCTCATGGTGGCTCTGGCATACACCAGCCCTTTCAGCAGACACTGAAATAAATAAGTAGGTACTGGTTGTTCCATACACTTTTTAATATTGAAATCCAAAATACTTTCTACGATGCAAATTTTACATTCTTGAAAGACGCCGGCAGCATCTTACTCGAATTAGTCGACATGCAGGGCCTACACTTACCTGTTAAGACACAACACTTTTTTCTAATGTTAACAAACGCCCGGGGAGAACACGATTGCCAATTTACTTGGCAAAACATGGAAAATCATACGTAGGCAAGAACTTTTCCCGCGCAAGCCACCCTACGCCTTAAAAAACACTGACACAAATGACAAATGATATTGACAGATGTCCGAGCTGGAGATGTTCCAGAGGTAAGTAATGGCGTTCACATTCCTAGTGGGACTTCATAAATCTTACAATATCTTCCCCATTCAGCACTCTCAGGATTTCCTCAGTTTTAAGCTGCCTAAGAACTTCGTCTTCATTTATTGGTCCTATAATTCTTCGGATAATTTTGCGCTCGAGAACTTGGTCTTTTATTGTAAGGCACATGGTTTCCGCTCTTCTTTTGCTAGAATTCTTGCTATCGATCCTTCCATTGTCATTTTCACCAGTCTTATAAGCTTTCCTGAGATGTTCAAGCGTCCCATTTGTTCTACTAATTTTCTCCGAGCTATGCTGACACAGACCTGCTTGAAGTAAATGAAAACAACATGGCTTTCGTAACTGTGTGAATAGCATCAATTGTAGAGTTGCCCTTTCTAAAACCATGCTGGTACTCTCCTATTTTAGGAGATGTGCTCACTTTAATCGACGCATCGTCATCTAGTGGCGAATTGATCAGTTAAAACAGGATGATGCAATAAATGTTGAAGTTTAAAAGATTCCAGAAAAAGACAATTGGTGTTTATCGAGAAATAAAGATATCTGAAAACTTCAACGACTTGTCCTTTCGCATAGTTTAGAATAATTAAATCGGTCAAAAAAAATATGAATCTTAAAAGAGTGATATATATTTTCAATCCTGATTGGGTAAACGAAAAAATATATGTTACGTTAAAGCTTATTTAGATGTTCAGGATTGATGTTTCTTAGATGTTCACTAATATTTCTAACTTGTTAAGAAGCTGAATGCTAAAAAATCTAATCACGTCTTCTAAAAGACATAAGAAAACGGCCTAAAGATGTTTGTTTTATCTCGTGCCAGGATGTTCTTAAAAACGTCGCACTTAAGACGTTTTTTCAATGTCTCAGGCGTTCAGATATTATTAGTACATAAAATGGACGTGTTTAAGATGTTCTGTGCCATCTGGGTACATAGTGTCATAAAAAACCTTCATAATGTCAAAAAAATATGTCGCTTTTCAAATTACCTAATACCGCTGCGGGCCTGGTAGACATCGCGCGTTACAAAAGCAAGGAAGGCGGTGCAGTGTAAGCAGGCGGCGGGGCACCGTCGATCACATGAAAAACGCTGTTATAATATATACACTGAGAACCAAATTTGTCTCACGGTTTGAGTTCAATGTGCATGAGAGAGAAGTGTGTATAGACACATGTGTTAGAAAGAGATAGAAGCCGACAGGATAGCGAAGCTCATCACCGCGTTGCCTAGCAACGCTGACGCGGTTATCTACGGCGTTGCCAATATGCTACACCAATTGTGAATTATCTGTTAAGGATCGATTCCGGATCGGTCCTAACGGGCTCCATTTTAGGTGAAAATGTCAGGACAGGATCGCCACAAACTCTGCGATATTGCAAAGATCCTTTAGGAGGCCATAGGATGGCAGTTTGCATGAGAGGGCAGCGTACCACCGCTGATTGAAGTCTTTCGTGATATCAAGAGCAACGACATGAGCCTCACCATAAGTCTGGATGAGTTTACTCCAGAATTGCGTGACGTAGGCTAGGAGGTCGCCTGTGGATCACTGGTACCGGAAACCGTACTGCCTTTCCCTAATGAAGTCGTGACGTTGGAAGTAGTCCAGAAGCTCGCGATTTATGCACCTCTCCATCACCTTACTTATAACCGAAATCAGAGCTATAGGCATGTAGTTGTAAGGGTTGATATTAGATCCTTTTTTGTGATGGGCTTAACACGAGCTAATTTCCGGTTTTCTGGGAAGGTGCCAGATGCATAAGATATCTGGAACCTCTTCAATACAATGGCAGGAATCAAGTCCGGACCAAGAAGCTTTGTTGATGTTGAGCGACAAGAGCATCCGTCTTACGGTTCATGGCTGATTGTTACTTTCCACATAGTTTAGGGAACCCTTTCAATCGATGGCACTTGGGCGTTGGGGAGACGTCCGTAGTGGAGTTGGCACCAAAGATCTTGGCAAACACTTTCGCCTTAGCCTTTGAGTCGGTTACAATCATTCCATCCTGACACGTAAGTGGTGGAAAGCTACTATGTGATAAGTTCCTTTCAGTCTGCTTGGCCAGCGTCCAGAAAGACCGAACTACCATTGTGCTGCGATATTACCCTATGCCTAACTATTATATCGTGCTGGTCTTTGGCATTTCGAACCGCTTCGTTATATTTGTTTCTGCACTCGACATCGGCTGGTTTTGAGGTTCTGTGTGCTTTGATCTTCTGCTGGTGAGCAGTGTCACACGATTTGAAGGTAGAGAAAAAGTCTCTCAGCCTCTCCCAGACGGCATGTCCGTAATGCCAAATTTTGCGGCCTGTACGAGTTTCTGCTGCCACAGCGACTTCTGACCGAAACCTAACCTCCACAGCACCGTCTGAGTTACACAGGGGGGACAGGACAGCAGTACTATAAGGGACCGGATGCGAGGTCAGAAAGAAATCCAGCAGGCTATCGGCATGTGACGAGATGCGTAGGAAAAAGTAGGGCTCGTCACCAGCTGGTCTGCCCTTGAGTAAGAACGAAGGGTTCAAATGCACGACCTGCTGCATCGGTCTTGTGTGAGCCCAACCAAAGCTCATTGTGGGCATTGAAATCACCGAGGAGAAGTACCTCTTAAGCGAGGTGACTGGTGTTCAGGAAGTCGATCTTTACAGCAAGGTATTCAAGTAGGTCATCCCAGTTATGGTCTGCGGGGGAGCGATAGAGGCAGCAAATAAATTTGGGGGATTTTTTAGAGTTGAGGCGAAGCCACATCTGGACAAAGAAAGACTGCTGCGGACAAAAGCCACAGCTCCCCCGTTCTTACTCAGATTGGAGTGCACTTCGTAATTTGGGAAGCTAAGATGGTAAATCGGTGCAGACTCTGAGATTCCTGTCTCTGCCAAGAAAAGCATGGCGGGACGATTGGATTGCAGGTAGTGATGAACAGCATCAATATTGCTGTTAATCCCGCAGATGTTTGTGAAACAAATTTTATCTTCGATGTTGTTCCCTCGAGTCCACCCTCCACTTGTACATTCCGAGAGTGGAGTGAGTTTACATTTGGAATTCTTAGTACTCGAGGGATCCATCATCATCAACTTCTTTGTTGGGGAAGATGACCGACTGCGTAGCAAAATTAAAATTGTTAGTGGATTTGTAGTTATGCTTTTTACTTTTGTTTCAGATGTAGAGTTTAACCACAAAGTAGTTAAGTGAACATGGGTACCTATAGTTAAGCTTTGTTTTGAAATTTGCGAATTTGAACAAAGGCGTGGGGATTATCAGTCAATCTACTTGACACCATTCTTTAATAACCCTATGGTATTTGTAAGTGCTGGGTAGTGCCCACAAAATACATAAGACTGAAGACTGAAGAAGTGGGAGCTGCACGTTAAACGATCGCAACACCGTTGACGTTTGTCAGATGGTTGCGCCGCCTACTTGCCTGGAGATCTGGAGGAACTATCGAAAGAATGCCGAGAATGCGCCTGGAATAAGGAATGCTAGGAGCATACCGGGGATTTCGTTTGTACATAATTTGAAATCTGCTGAAAATTGTATTTCCGATATTGAAGGAAGGATTATTTCATCATCAAAATCCAACACTAATTGTGAAGCTCAAAGTATAAAAATTGTATTACATGAAAGTCGAGATATATGTATTCCAAATTCATGTTGTGTTGCAAAATACATTGAATTGCTTCTTGATAATACTGAAACGATACAGAAAACACTGATGCAATTAATAATTCTTTGTAATAAGCAACATCTAATTAGTCTGCTCAGTTCTGTCTTTAATTTGTTGGCCTAGATGGGCAGAATTTTGTAACGCTTAGGGATTTATGACTGTACTCTACAGATATTACCTTGTCTTATTTAATACAAAAAATCTTTCGTACTTTATATATAACAGTGCCAAGTACAAAGATTTTAAAGAGGCTGAATCCAGCCATGCAATGTTAAATAATCTTCCAGCTACATCATGCCGTTATGTTCAGTTCACAGCCTACCGGTAGCACTTCATGACTTATGACAGAGTCTCCTAAACTTCTGCATCTCCCACATAGTCACAATACACCTCACGTATACCATCACAGCTACTGATGGTGCTGGTTCATATTTTATACTCACTTTCAACGAAATGTCTCCGAAAGCATCACCGTTGATAATTTGGATATTAACCAAAACAAACGCCATATTTGATATTTTGAAATTTAGATAAAGATAGAGAAACCCGGCAAGCAGCACGTCATGTGGTACCGGTAATGCAGTTTCCTCGATTATGTCTGGAGAGGATGACATTGGTGTTGCCAGTTCGTCGATAAGACGTTTCACCCCCCTGGTAGTACCCATGGTAAACGTATCCCCGCACTTGCGATACACACCTTGGCAACGTCGCGAGACGCTACGCTAGTGCCGCGGTACGCTCGGGCTCGATGTTGCTGTCATTTCACGTCGGGTTCTTGTGCTAGTAGCGGCAATCTGACAATATCCGAACTGCGCGACCAACAGGTTGCTGCCGAAAGCACCACATGCTTTGTTTACTCCGGTCGAACGGGAGCTTTCAGGAAATTGGCGGATTTTTGAAACTGTGATTCAGTGCGTCCAGACGCGAGTGAGACAGTGAAATGTGGTTTTGACTTGTTGAATTCTGTATATTGGAACATTCAGAATGGATTTACGTGGAGCCTCCGTTGGTATATGCATCCTGGGCTTACTTGGATTTGGGATTGGAGCGGTTCCGGATGAAAAAGGTACACTGTAGACGGATGCATGCATTTGTTGAACTGTTCAATCAAGGTCAAACGTCTAAAACTTTTTTAATACCCAGTACGTTCCCTTCTTTGTCGGATTAGAGACACAGATCTAGAGGCTTTGTAATGTTTTAACCATGTAACGTTTTGCACGGTCGTATCCCGAAAGAAATCCTGGAGGGGCTCCGCAGAGTATCCACTTTTTATGCGTCTCAGTATTTTTTGTACATTACAAGTTTCCTCATATGAACAAAAGCGCGACGAAAGGTAGCATATCGTTTCTTCACGCTTGGCGATGAAACTTATCCCCCGTGCCCCCCCCCCCTTAACTCTGCCTATGTGCTTTGAAGCAAGCCCCCCCCTCTCTCCAAATGTGATAAAGGCATTCCTCTCCTCTTTATTTTTTAAATTGCAGGCGCTGCCGAAGTTGCTCTGCTCTTCAATTTTCAGGGAACAGCTTCCAAACTACTCATGTTTTACTCGTTTTTCCTTCCAAAATACTCATTTTTTACTAATTGTTTCCTACGCAATATTACTATTCTCACTTCATACGATTGTGATTCTATCATTCCTTCTGGGCAAGATTAAAATATTTTGTAAGTTTCAAGTTACACATCATTAAAAAAATACTACTGTGTAGCTCGTAGAGAGCCCCAAAGCCCCCCTGAATACGCCCTTGACATTTTATCTTCATTCATTCATCCTCATATCGTATTTTTATAAACACTTGGTGGAAAAGTGATTTTAGACCCTTGTTTTTGGGTGTAGATGAAAAATGTGAAACCAAAAATGAGCGCAAATATGAAATTTTTTAAATATTTTAGTATATAGGTAATGGGTTTTTATTCAGTGTTTCCAACATATCTTAATTGACTGTGCTTTCAATTTGTTTTTTTTTATGTAGATATGATTTATGAAATATGTGAAGACAGTATACACGTCTCACTGTGTGCCGTGATACAGGAAATCACTTTATAGAAAATTTCAAGATTTCTTCCGATATTTTTGGAAAATTTCATATGAATCTTATTTGATGTATGAAAAGTGCATTAGAGGATCATATTTTATGATATAATCAATTGCGGAAGACCAAATCGTTAAATGCCCAACTAGCAAAGTGGTGCTATAAGTTTTTGATAAAAGAACTATTCAGCCATAAAACCTCTCTATTGTTGTTGCCTGAAGCCCAAAATGCTAGCTTAATGTTGTTTGGAATGCACATTTGCTTGTTGCAGCATATTTGCTCTAAACTGAGGTGTGTAAAACATTCTTTAGCTTAGTTAGCATTCTGTAGCATAGTTATACAACACCTTATAGGACAAATTTTGAACTGTGGTATAAACGTTTATACAAGGTGTCCTGAATAAATTTCCCTTTTTAAACTCGAGTAACTGGGTAACAATGTAACTTAGCGCGGTAGGCGTAGCGTCCTTCGATGGTGCATCGATCCGGATTATTCAGTAAAAATGGACCGTTGGTCTGATGCGTATCGTGCGTTCATTATTAGGGCATATTCCAAGAACAATGACTCGTACACAATTGCAAGATGATGGTTTTGTGCTCACGTCAATATTAGGCGTGACGAGGTCGCACCAAGTAAAATTATGAAATCGTAGGTGAAGAGGCTTAGGGAAATATCGTTAGCTTTAAATGTGAAACTCGCTGGTCATCCAAGGACTGTAACTACTCCTGAGAATGTTGAAGGATAATAAAAAATTGTATTTCTGAAATATGCCTCAACGCTCCATTTTTACTAAATAATCCGCATCGATCCAGTTTCGAAGGGCGCTACGCCGACCTCGCTAAGTTACACTGTTATTCGAGTTCAAAAAGGGAAATTTATTCCTAGATACAACTTTTTATACGACCTATTTGAGGGTAGTCAAAATAGTTGTGTTGTGGCATCCATTGTAACATTTATACAACAAACCCGAGTCTTGGTGTGCAAAATTGCTATTTTAGCTTACAAATTGCACCCAATGGAAGCGCCTAGGGCCGTATCGTCTACTATTGTAGGACGCGTTTATTGCCTACTTGATTTCCACAGCTTTTCCTGTCCTTCAGTGTTAGCCCTCTATTTTGAGGTTATGTTACAAATATCTATTTGCATCGAATTGTTCATGCTTTCGATTTACATCAACTGCTTAATCAGCCTGAAATTTCCTACACTTCAAAGCTTAACCTCACAATAGGGGACGCTGACAAGGAACGGTAGAAATCTAGAAAAATCCATCAGCGTTTCTGAAGGAGAGAAAATACTAAGAAAATTAAGGAGACCATGAAGGCGTTCTACAATAATTGTAGGAACGACTGACGATAGGGCCCCAATACAACTGTCAGTTAGTAATGTTAAAAGCTGTACATCTGCAACAATATCACACCTTTTATAGTATCCATCATGGTAGAATGCAGCAGAATATCTAGTAATATCTCAAAATTCTCCATATCGGTAGGTACAGACACATAATTCTAACGGATCCGACAACGTCAGGTAGTTGCCGATTTTGTTTTGTTTTTTTGTACGCTGCAGATTCATTTTGTACTTGATAACAGCTCTTTTATTTAGAAAAGTTTATTTGCATACAAAAAAAAAACGCTACAAACAAGGTTTACTAGATTCACACCCGATTCATTATTGCGAACGTCACAGACTAACACAAAATGTCATTTGCTGATCAGCTTTTCACCTCAGTAGACGTCAAAGCGTGATGGATACCCGTCAAATAGGGTATATACAACTTCACCATAACCAAAGTTTCTGCTGTCATCTTTTTAGGTTAAATGCCATAACCAATATTTTAAGACAGGCAACAGGCATACGTATGAATATTCGTTATCGAGGTTTTATCAAATTTTCAAACAGAAGATATATATATAATCAATGTTCTAACAAACCAAAGACAATATGGACGATGCATGATATATAACCGCCCGCCAGATTGGTAAAAGATAGGTAGATATATTCCTCTATTGAAAATTAAATAATTCTGTTTCAGTCCAATATTACATATATAAAATGATAAACATCAGTGTAATTGCGGCAGATAAGTTCAGATTTTCATCTTAAAATCTAGACATACTTTGGTCATTAAAACATGAATCAAATCCGACGCCCGTAGAAATTGCGTAACTACTTTGTACGATAATCACAATAAAATTTGCTGCACAAGTAATTCAGTAGCCCTTTACCTTGGTGCAGAAGTTTATCACATACCTGTGTATGAAATTCACAATGGCCGAAATGTGAGCAATCAAGATGACTGTAATGCGTTATTATATATTCTTCACTTCGCCTATATAATACATAAGAAACAGTTTGGTTACAATAAAGTAGAATCATGTAACAGAATGGTTGTATAGTTGACAAAAATTGAATCTTGCACTGGACGCACATGTTCTTTAGCGGCTGCAAGAGGTTTACACTTGTTGTATAACTGTTACCTGCAGCCCCTATACAACCTCTTGACTCTTTACTGAGGTGTCCTACTAGGTGTGCTTATTCCGCTTGTATAGCTGTTCTAAGAGCGTTCTGCAAATGCTCTTGCAAAATACAAAGCTGTGTCGGAATTCTGTATAAGGGTGGTATCTGAAATGGTAGTTGGTGCATGTATTTCCATAGTAAATATATTCCATTCCATGAAACGATTTTTATAGTCTATTTAGTTCGGTCATCAATTGATAAAGTCTAATTTCTTATTCAAATTGACATTTAACAAATATCAGCCTAGCCATGTAAGTCCCAAATTTAGTATTCACGTCACTGTATCTTTGGTATAAAATAATTGGATGAAACTCTATTTAAATTTTACTTACATTGCTTACATTGTCATTACGATTTAATGTATAAAATAATTTTGTTTGATCACATTATTTCAAGTCAAAAAGTGTAAGCGATAAAAAATATCAGGCCCTAGTCATTTACGAAATTCAAAAATACGCGGCATCCAAACATATGACTTATTCATAACTCACTCAGTCAAACTCTCAGGCCCTAGGTAAGTCGTTTTAAAGATATATAATTACTCATTGATCTCATTACTTATTGAATGTATGAGCTAGGTCTGCTTTGTTATTTTGACCGCCTATTGATTTTATAGAGATTTAAAATAATAGCTTTCATTTGATTTTGCTTCGTTTCGTCAGTCCCTAGACCGTCAGGCCCTAGTCGTAATAGTGACTAGGGCCTGATGCCACATCTAGGGACTGATGATCATACTGTGTGATGCATAGTTTTAATCATAATACCAATGTATTTGTTGTAGAATATGGCGCCTATAAAGAAAAAAACATTGTCTAAAGAGGAAATTGCAAAAAAAAAGTCTGATCAGGCAAAGAGGCGATTGGAAAAAATTAAAAATGATCCTGTTTTGCTGGCGGAGTACAAAGAAAAGGAACGACTAAAATATCTAAAGAAAAAGGAAAAAGGACAACGGAAGTGTGTAAAAGACATGACTCCCCGTGAGCACAGAAAGGCAAGAAAAAATTGGGTAGCCTATTCATCTGATTATAGAAAAAAACAAAAGATTCGTGACAATACAGATAAATACGTGGACCAAAATACGCCGCCATCATCGGAAGATGAAATTATTCCTGCGGCTCCTTTATTAAATAATGAAAGAGAAGCTGAAGCTAGAAGGAGGAGTATAGTTCAACGGAGAAAAAGAAATAGTATGTTGAGGAGGAAGGACTTACTCATTGAAATTTAAAGAAGAAACTTGCCAGCGAACAACAAAGAAACAGAAGACTGAAACATAGAATGATACAAAAGAAGCAAGCACTGACACCAGAAAGTAAAATTGTAGAAATGGCCAACGACCCTAATCAAAAAGCAGAATTGATAAAAAAGTGTTATTTGGCGATATTATTCAAAGGCAAATTTTAGATAAAGAGATTCAGACACCCAAAACAAAAACCTGCTTAAAAACGATTTTGTCAAGTCCACTGACACATAAATATAAAATATGGAGACTTGGAAACACAGCCATTACATATAAAAAGATGGGATTTAATCGTACAAAATATGAAGCTATGCGAAAAAAAAAGAGAGTTGAAGAAATCATACACAAGTTTTATGAAGATGACAATAATAGTCGTTGTGCGGCAGGAAAAAAAGAATGCATCACTCGCAAAAAAATTAAAAAACAAAAAAGATATTTGCTGGATTCCTTGAAGAACTTGCATCAAAAATTTCACAATACGAGTTTGATGGAAATTGGGTATAATTATTTTTGCAAATTGCGTCCATTTTGGGTTGTTGTGCCTAAGCTTACAGACCGTGATACCTGTGCTTGTGTTATTCATGAAAACATCAATTTGAAGTTAGGTGCCTTAAAAAATGCAAACGTTCTTGACTTTGCCACATATCAAACTGCACTGGAAACAATTTGCTGTTATCGTTACTCGGAAAAATGCTTAGCGAGAACTCGCCAGGACTGCTCATTGAAGATTTTACCATATAAGGAGTTTGATAATAGTAAGGACATGGCAGTCAAACAATGGAAGCATAGCAAGGAATTGATTAAGGACATTAAAACTAAACAGGATAGATACGTCACAAAGTATAAGAAAGAGATATGCAATTCAAACCTCGTGATTTAGTTATGCAATTAGAAGAGAGTGATCTCATAATAATTAATGAAAGTCTGAATGTTGTGTTCAAATTATAATTTGGTAACTTAAAACTTTAGAAAGCTGATTATTTAAAATAATTGTTAATTTTTAAAGGACTATTAGTTTGTAAGTATTAAACTCAAAGTATAATTTGATTGTTGAGAAATATTGATAGATTATTTTCAAGTGTATAATTAAAAAAATAAATCCTGTACTGAGATTATAAATCATAGAATTTGTGAACTTAAGAGATTATTTTGTTGTTACGGTTGATTTTGACTTGTCGTCAGTCCCTAGAACACTGATTTTAAAAAATCATAAATTTCTCTGAAAATATGAAGTAAAGTGACTGGCCCTTTTAGATGCAGCAAAGTAGATGTTATACCTACCGCATAGAATATAAGCTGTTCTGATTTTTAACTAAAAACACCACCTTCAAAATTACATCAGAAGTTAACCAAATTTCAGATAACCACCCATAATCGTTTTTGCAACCTTAGAGTGATAATTGTTAGTTGGGCGTTGGCGATTTAAAGACATGGTCAAAATTATATAGTTGGCCATTCCATGAAAATCGACTATTTCTTGAAATGCTCGATCAGTTCATGAAACAGTGAATTCTATGATATGAGCACGACATTTACACTTTTTTAACAGTTTAACATAGCACGTTTTAATTTTAGCATATTTTTACTACGTCCGCCCATTTTGCTATAAAATTGTTACGATTTAAAAGAGATACTTAATCGGTTGATTGGTTGTCTACATTTACAAAAAGTATAAATAATATCAAAACTACTAACGAATAACCCATTTGCGGGCTTTTAACATAATTTCCGTCATTTTCAACCCAAAAGTAGCATCTGCTTTGGGACTTTTGGACTTTTCAAGATACGTAATACCTCTGGGGGTGGGAGATCGGACTCCGATCTACCGTAGGTCGGTAGTACATTGGGTTCTATATAGAGAGCTGCCGCACTCGTTCCATATTCAACGTCTGCATGTTCGAGTACTTCTTCCAGAAGACTAGCCAAAGAGAGTCCAATTTTGCACAATTGCTCCAACAATTCAGAAATGCAGTTTCCCAAAAAAATGTCATGGTTGGACGAAGACGTTTTCGAAGAGGCATTTATAATTACAATTTACACCAATGGGCTCTAGAGAATATACGACTCATCAGGCAGGACAGTTTTCAATACCGATTAGGGACTCATTATGGGCTAGACCTGATAAATAGTAAATTCATCACCAGTGTGAAGTTGGTAGCCAGTTTGTAATTTTTCTGGGTATTCGCGTGAAGTTAGCAGCCATTTTTTTGTATCAACTAGTGAGTTTTAACGATTGCAGCGTATTTCTAGCTAATTTTAGCAACAGGTAGTTTTAGCCTTAGTGTAAACATATTTTGAAACAGGTATGCGGATTTTCAAAGAAGCGAACAGCATCATTGAATAATGAAATGAATAAGCACATCGTTTATATTCAGTCGTAGCATACAGACGATTATTTTTTCCTACCTGACGTACGGGTGGTTTTGATATCCTCACAACATAAGTAGTGTTGCATCTGCCACCTATTCAGAAACAAGCTACAGGCTAAAAATAAATGAATAGTGTTTTACTAGTAGTTATTAGGTAACATAGATCTCATCTTTTTCGGATCCGTCGAAGAGGTTGACTTATTCTCTTGAACGTGAAAAATGTGTTTTTTGCATTTTTCACCTTCTAACCAGAAAAAAGTTACAGGCTAAAATGAATCAATAGTGTTCCTTTCATTAGTAGCTATAAGGTCATGTAGATCCCATCTTCTTCGGACACGTCGAAGGGGTTCATTTCACCACTTGAACATCAAAAATTTGTTTTTTTGTATTTTTCACATAGCCAGTAAAAAGTTACAGGCTAAAAATAAATGAGAAGCAATTTAACAAAGGACCTATTGTTTCTAAGATGAATTTATAATGAGGCTGCTACAGGCAGTTCACTTTTTCTCATCTATACTGGAGCGGTAACGCTTAAGGTAAGTTTTATAGTTTTCGTAACCTATACTGTTTTTTGTTACTTCATATATGGTTTTTAATGCTTCCGATTGGTTTCTTATGTGGCGTAGGTACATTAAACGAAAAACGAACAGGCCACTCATTAGGTAAAACTGGTATCTCAATGAGAGGTAAATACATATTCGGCACTTCTGTGATGTTTTGGATCATGTAAGTGGCTAAATAGTTAGTATTTGCTATAGCATTTTTAAAATGGTCTAAGTTAATTTTTTAGCGCGTTTAAGGTTTTGTGAATTGAGCTACTGGAGAATCTTCTAGTTATGATCGTTCAAATATTAGCCCCGGCTACAGAGAGAAAAAAAATAGGTATTTCGTGTAAAAAGTTTAGCACATATCTGAAAGTTTTAAATGAATGGGTCTTTTTCTACTGACAAGTACATAAAAAGATACTGCCAGATATGCGTTGTTTTTTTTATAAACAATGGGAAAAGCTGTTATTCCGCGCAATTGAAAGATGGTAGCTAATGAGCCCTCAGGAGGTGGTTGTTTGTACTTTGGATTTTGGATGCAAAAGGTTGTGGTTTGGGGCCACCTAGTTCCAAGCACTAGGAAAAGAAATAACAAGTAACCAATGTTTGGTCTCTGTGCTAAAGGAGATACAAACTCACAAGGTATACAAACATTTATTGAACAAAAAAAAAATAAAATAAATAAGTCCTAGAAGACAAGCTAAAGCAAATTATTTTGTACTACCCCCCTGCTGAATGGTTTCCAGCAAAAGCTAAAATAAAAAAAACACCTGGTGTTTGACAATCACCGGGAGGCAACCGAGGGCAGGCATCCCAGGTGTAACTCAATACCCGAATATAGAACCCTCGAGCAATGAGGGTTCACAGAAATGGGGGACTGCTCCTCACAGGCGTGGGTCCTACTCAAAGATCGCCTCGGGGTATCAATGGAAACAGTTCCTCTCAGCTCGATGGCTTAGTGTAGTTGTGACAACGGCTAAATCCCCAAGAGGGTGAGAAAAAGGCTCCGACAACAAAAATCACCAAGGGAGACCGATTTTTGTCAGAATCTCCACAACCTGGTGCACTACATGTGAAATTATTTCCCCAAATCGGGTTGTGGCGCTGTGCTGCCACACGAGAGCACCTGAAATAGCACCAAGTCACCTTCAGCTCTCGTATTTACGGTTGACAGAAATGATAAAAAATGACCTTTAACGAGATGGAGACTAGAATACAATTATCTACCATAAAATTATTAGACCAAGAGAAGTGTTTTGTTACAAAAACAAAATCGATATTTCCAAGAACTGCTACAAAATCATTATTCTAAATAAGAAAAACGCTGTAATAATTTACCTTATCAAGACATAGTCTTAGTCGACCATAAAACGAAACTGTAACACAGCCCAAAATTCAGTATTTTTTCAAATTAAATTTTATAAATTGTAATCGGTATACTGGAGATCTTAGAGCATAAAAAGAACTTCACTTTTCAATTATAAAATTAAAATCAATAAACATTGCATAAATGTTTGTAACTATTGCAATAACAATTGCAAAAGGCTAAAAAATTGTTGATAAGTGTGCTAAATTTCAGCCGAATTTGTTTAATAGTTTATGTAAAAAGCTAACTGTTTATCCCAGAGACGAGATATTTAAACAACTTACTGTTTTTGTCCAAGATACGGCCCTAGAACATTTTACAAAAGTGAAATGGATTCTTGAAGGTTTCAACTTCAAGAATTTATGCAAAAAATTAATTATTTATTTGAAAATTGTTATTAAAAATGATCTTAGAAAATAGCAATTTTTATAGTCTTAACATTTACAATAACCTTGTTATTTTTCAATATAATTATTTTAACAAGTTGATCTGGATAGGTGGTATTTTTGGTATATATACAGGCCTCGTCAGACTCCAGTGTTTAGAATCAGCTATAAGCATGTCTTTGACGAATCCTTCAATTCTCAACTGTTGAGCTTTTGTCTTAAAAGGACGCTCATTGCCAGTTTTCTGCTTTGTGCAGTGCACAGCTACCACCTGTTCCCCAAACATTCTCACAACTTAAATCTTACACGGACATTTATAACGGCTTCAGAAATTATATTGGCTCCGATCCTTGCATGGGCTTTTTTTAGAAACCCTAAGGCAGGATTCATCTTAGGAAACCATCTGTCGGAATGTGCCCACCCTCAACATGTGGTATTTTACGGCCGATATGAATGTTATTTGGTTAGTGTCCCGTGTGAACCGGTATATATATATATAGAGAAAATGATCATG